CGGAGGTGGCTGTAATTGTGTGTCAAAAAAATGTTACTGCTTGAGCAGGGTAATGGGAATTTGCCTATTTACCAGATTATTCTTAATACTTTTTTGTGTGTTCGAAATGTTTCCTAATACATTTTTTTAAGATGATGTGCAGGGGGCATGGTACGTGATGTGTAAAATAGTGTGCCATGGGGATTCAGAGGCCGGCAGGGGCCAGAAAGCTCAGCAACTCCTGGCATTGGAAAGGACTTGGGACTTTAAGGGGAGCGGGATGCCGTTTAGGGGTTCTGAGCAGGATAGTGGTATAAACAGGTTGACATTTTGCAATAACATTCTGGCTATCTTGTGAAGTATGAATCAGAGGGGGCAAAGGCGGAAGTTGGGAGAACCACTTGTGTGTGGTCCTCCTCAGGGCTGAGGTTGGGATCGCTATTCGTATTTCCACATCCGACACTGAGCAGGAGACACAAAAGGCAGTCAGCACTATCAATACCAGTATTATAACTAGAATTAATTTGGGGATATTTGTAATCTTTCTTTGTTTACCAACAACAGCGGCTACAAAATTAGTTATGCCATATCTGCTTTTCAAAGACTACTGTCTCGTTCATTTCTCAATTCATATTTTAAAGTTCACATCCTGACTTTTCTCTTTCCCCTTTCTGTGTAATCGATTTTGCCTTCCATTACAGCCATACTCCACGTCCAGACTGCTCTTCCTGCTTTCTGCCTCTTTGTGTTGGTCTCAGCTGCTCTTTTCTACAATTTTCCCTTCCTCCTCTCTCCCCATCCACCGGCAGTGAGGACCTTCAAGATCCAGATCCCAACTTGCCTCTTCCAAACTGTGACCTGCTTCATCTCTCAAAGATCACTTCCTTTGCTTTCCTAATATTTTGGCCATTGGCCCCGGTGGCTTTATTTTCACTTATCCACCTGACTTTGCCTGCCTGCTCCCTCCCCACCAGCTCCTCAATGCTGAATTCACTGCTACCTCGTTTGAACTGCCTTGATCTCCATCGTTGTCCCAGATCCAAGTCTGACTCAGACAGGAGTTCTATGAGCTGCTCCACCTCCATAGAGCCCTTGTCTTTTACCACCACACCCTCCACCCCAAGTGAGGTGAGGAAATAAGCCAAGATCTCATTTTGAACTCTGGGACTGCCGGATCTGCACCATCCACTGGACCTCCAGCTAGGCTGCTGCAGCCCTGAGCAGGGCTATGATGTCTCACCACTGAGCCCTTGGACCTCCCTCTAATCCTAGCTTTAGAGTTGACCCCAATCTGGGATCCAGATCTGATAACCCAGTTATGGTTCTGAACCTTACAAGCCCCAATTTCTTCACTTCACATCCCTGAAATTTTCTGAGATTTCCATTCTGAGTGCTCACTCCAATAACCAATTTATTTGCTGCATATATATATATTTTTTAACAAGGACTTGCTTAGTCTTCTTGTGCCCATCTCTGCAAGCTGTAGTCCCTTTTGGTGGGTGACCCTCAGCTCCCATATCTAGGGCCCTGCTGTCTTCAAATAAGACTTGGCCTGCGTGGCTGATTGCCAATCCCCATGCTCTGTGAATGTCCTAACAGTTGTCTGATGCTTAGTCAAGACTTGCAGGGTCAGCATGGATGATGACGGGTGCCTCCACCCTGGGAGTTGCTAAATCCTTGCTGTTATTTATAGCCTGAATTCCAGCAATCTCTGGTTTGTGGGCAGGTCTAATTCCTGGCTTTGCTGCCAGTAAACATCCATACTTCCCTGATGAATCTTGGCATACATCACCAGAATCTGTAAAGGTATGACGATAGTTCTATGATCTGTATGACGAATTTGACCTCCAAGTTGTCTTTCACCTTTTCTGGGAGTCCTCTTTAGGGAATGGTACAGTACACAAGAGACAATTAATATATGATTATAGACAAGAAATGAATGGAGAGCTTGAGAGCCACACACTCTAATCTTAGCTTGGGTTTATGAAGCATATGTGTCTCATCAGAAAAGTAAGGATAATAATACTTAATTCTTATAAATTCTTACAGATATTACAAGGATTAGCTATGAGCAGTGTGGTACACCCATTGGAATAGGCACAACCATCTCTATAATGTCAGTAATATTATGTTAATCAAATCTTATGTCAGAGGCTGTCCAAGAGTAGCACCATTTGCTATGATCCCTCTATGGTTAAAGCTATTCTTGTGTGTGTGTGTGTGTGTGTTTAATTCAGAATATTATAGGGGTACAAACATTTTGGTTACATGAATTGTTTTTGTATAGTTTGAGTTAAAGTTATAAGTGTGCCCATCACTCAGATAGAGTGCATTGTACCTGTTAGGTGTGAATTTACCTGCCCCTTTCCACCCTTTCACCTGCTTGGTTTCCATTGAATTTTACTTCCATATGTGCCCATGAGTGTTGAATGATTAATTCCAATTTAATACTGGGTATATGTGATGTTTGCTTTTCCATTCTTGTGATACTTCACTTAGAAGAATGGTCTTTGGTTCCATCCAGGTTGCTACAAAAGGTATTATTAATAGTGTACCACTTTTTTATGGCTGACTAGTATTCCATGGTATACATATACCACATTTTATTAATCTGCTTGTTTATTGATGGGCACTTGGATTGATTCCACATCTTTGCAATTGTGAATTGTGCTGCAATAAACATTTGAGAGCATATGTCTTTTTGATAAAATGATATTTTTTCCTTTGCATAAATCCCCTGATTAAGGCATAAATGAACCTTTCCTGGGAGATGACCCAACAGGATGTTAAAGCTGCACATTATACTCTGCACACAGCCAGCCATCTCTGCTGGCAGAACTCCACCAACATCATTCCATCCCACATCCACCATCTCCGACAGAGGAGCTGAAGTCTCTCTCACCTGGATAAGCGTGAGGAATAAGTATCCTGGCTGCCACATCACTGGTGGTGTCAGGAGCAAACTTGTCGAGATGACAGTCAAGGAGCATGGGGGGCCAGTCTGGACATGCACACACATGGTGGTGAGCCCCATCTGGCCTGCCCCAACCACCGCGACCCAGGCCGTGTCCATGGGCCGGTTAGGAGGGACATGTGGGCTGCACACCTTATCTTAAGGATTATTCCATCAGACAAAGTTTTGCCCTGACAGTTCCTTCCTTAGGTCTTCAGCCTCTCAGAAAAGGACCTCTCTTGTTGGTATTTCTTTTTTTTTTTTTCAACCTTCCCCACCTACAGCCCTGTTGATGTTTCTTGTGGGATAAAGATAATATCCCTCTGAAAAATGTATTTACTTTGGTTGTTTCCACATCTTTGCAATTGTGAATTGTGCTGCTATAAACATTCTAGTGCAGGTATATTTTTCATAGAGTGACTTTTGTTCTTTTGGGTAGATGCCCAGTAATGGGATTGCTGGATCAAATAGTAGATCCACTTGTATCACTTTAAGGTATCTCCATATTGCTTTCCACAGAAGTTGAACTAGCAAATTGGTATTAACTGATCAACACCTAAGTGGACATATAGGAATAACATCTATTGGGTGCCGGGCAGGTTAGGGGAGGGGGATGGATAAATACATACATAATGAGTGCAATGTGCACCAACTGGGGGATGGATACGCTTGAAGCTCTTACTCAAGGGGGGCGGGGGGACAAGGGCAATATACGTAACCTCAACATTTGTACCCACATAATATGCTCAAAAAAATTAAAAAATGTATTTACGTAAAACACAGTTAAATTTTTATCATTTGTTTGATGATAATATTATTCTTATTTTCAAATAAATCAGTTTATTCAGAGGTCATGTTAAATATTACTAACACCCTCAACCCATGTCTGTCCTTGTACCCCATGGGCATACAAGGGTATTGTTGGTTTTGTTTCAACAGGAAGAAGTCATCATGTTTTTGTTTGCCAATTTTTTTATTGTGGAAAAATACACACAACAGACTTTATTATCTTAATCATTTTTAAGTGTACAGTTTAGTGGTTTAGTACAGTTTAGTTTACAACCATTGCCACTATCCATTTCTAGAACTCTTTTCATCTTTCCAAACTGAAACTCCATGCCCATTAAACTATAACTCTTCCTCTCCCTCTCCTCTCAGCCCCTGGCAGCCACCAGTCTATTTTCTGTCTCTATGATTTTGACTACTACAGGGTACTTCATATGAATGGAATTATACAATGTTTTTCTTTTTGTGACTGGCTTATTTCATTTAGCATAATATCCTCAGGATTCATCCATGTGGTATAGCAAGTCATTATGCTTTTAACTCCTCTTTAGAACAAGTCTTTTCCCAGCTTCTCAGTTCCTCACCAGTTTTCCAGGTTCTTAATATTCTAAAGGTTGAGGCTGTATTACTTCAGGTGATCTAGTAAAATTTATTAAGAAAAATTTCAAACTTAAAAAAAAACTTCAAAACCCAAAGTGTCATATACAAAGGGGATAGATGTGGGGTCTTTTGTTTGCTACTGAACTTTTTGCTTGAGAAGAATGCCCAGCACCCTTTTGAAACTCAATGATCTCACATGTTTAGTGAATGAACCAATAAAAGAGTTGATCCTTTTACATCTTGGGGCAAACTAGATTTCTTGACAAAAAGAAGAAAACATTCTTCCTAAAGATTTTTAATATTCCATCATTCCTTTGACATTGTCTAGGAAATGGACCCTAATGTTTTTTAATGTGTGTGAATTACCTGAACAACTGACGGAGCAGACTTCCAGACACCAACCCAAGGGACTGAAAAGGTGAAGTGTCCCTAAGGCTATAGGTGCCTAAGAGATGGTGCCAACAAGGGAAGAGAAGGCATTTGTGCTGGAGTAGAGAGAAAGCAATGGAAAACCTGCACCTCAGAATTTTTTTCTTTTGTGAGTCCTTGAATAGAAGGCAGGTGTCGAAAAGTGGGGCCAAATAGAAGGAAGGGAAGGAAGAATTATGTAAGATTTTCAGAGTTGCTTTCCATCAGGAGAGTTTAGGGGTAGTCACAAGAGCTGTCAGAGGAAGTACTGGTTTTCTTTTGTCTTTCTATAATTTAACACTCTGTCTCCTCCTCTAAGGTGGATCCTGTTTTAGTGAATAATTAATTTATTATCTAGTTTAATCCACACTGTACTGATGCATCATCCTGGATTTTCTACCAGTTGTTTTAATTACTTCTTATGAGTGCAGGTATAAAGGGCAACGAACAAATTGGAAAATATTCTTGGAGTTTAGCTTGTGATATTGGCAGCTCAAGATGGACAAAAAGCAAGGAAAATATGTAATGAATGTTGAACACTCTGAAAATCAGCCAGTGAGTATTGTTCCATTTTGATATTTTGCCTATATTACAGTCTCATTTTCAGCCTTAAAAACAATCTAACCTCTTTACTACTAGTAGTCAAGGTCATAATTTTGCATTTTTCTCTAAAAAGAAGAGTAACCGTGTAGTAATTTTTCTGCCTTAATTTTCATGTTATATTTTGCTATATTTTAAACATTAAAAATTTATAGATGTAAAATATTAGGAATGTTTCTATGACCATAGGATATACGAATAAATCTATTTAACTTTCTATAGTTACCATCATCTAAGTATAAAGCTCCAATAATGTCATTGTTATTTATTAAGTTACAATTTGATGCTGAGATTTTTATATGTAATTTCTAGACATGTCAGAACTCAGATTTCCAAATACTCTGAAAAACCAGATATTAATCCTACATATTGTCTTTAGGCCTAAGAAAAAAATTCTCTAAAAATACCTGCTTCATGTAAAAAGATGATAATTTTGCCTATTTTTTAAAAAGTATTTTTATACCAAGAACCAAGCCTTCAGTATATCGCTATCATAATCATATACAGTTATCATATCATACATATATCATATACAGATTTTATGTATCTGGCTATATTTGACCAAATAATCTTTGATATGAGATATCAGGTGTTTAAAATTTAAGTGGTAAGTTAAAATACACTGTCTGAAGAATAAATAAAAAGCGTGTAAAGATTTTTAATATTCCATTGTCTTTGCCATATGGCACTGTGGCAATCAGCCACTATTAATCACTTATGAGATAAACCAAAGAAGAAAGTCTTGTTTCTCAGTAAGCATTAGTTGAATAAAAGAATTTTATGGAGGAGTCCTGGTTCACCAAAAGAAAAAGGTTGTCCCTTTGAGTTATCAAAGGACCCTCCTGAGATGCTCTTTGTCACTCCTGAGTCTGACTATTCTATGATTGGATCTTCAAGATGCCAAAATACTCAGATGGAAAAAAAGAAATTCCCTATAGCCAGGTATTCATCACCTTGATAGTTTCTCTAGAAAACAACAAATTTGAAGATGTTGAGAATAATTATCTTAAATTGTTTTTGACAGCATATATCTGGATAGCTGACTAAATATTTGACTTTATTATAGATATTTGGACATAGTTATAAAAGTGTTTTTCTCTTAAGACTAAATTCAATAATGGGGTTTAAAAATTATTTGAAGATTATAAATGAACAGAAAAGAAATGTGGGTGTTTTTGTTTTTCTCTTAGGGATACAAGAGATCTTAAGTTAATCCTCATAAATTTAGGGGAAAAACCCTATAGAACTTCCTTTGGAAAATAAAGCTAATGCACTTTAGTTGCCTATGGCTATTATTAGCTAATGCTGATGATCTCATTAAACATTATTTACAGCTGTCCAACTATTCCAATTTTGTATAGAGACTCCACCTGTACTAGAAATTATTATCCCAAAGCTGGCCCAGATCATAAGCTCTCCACCCACAGTTAGACCCAAATATCACCTTCCTCTTTAAAAGGGCTGTGATTCCAACTGGACCAGAAAATTGTGGAAAACTGGACTAGTGAGTAAGATTTACTTTGTTTACAAAGTGCATTAAAATGTCCAAGTTCATAAATCACAGGCAAATTGGATATAACTAAGGCAACAGGATCAGAACCAAGGAAAATAAGCAGGGTGTATTCTTTTTTTTGGGGGGGGGGGAGCGGGGAGGGACGGGAAACGGCACTCTAGCCTTTTGTCCGGGCTAGCCTGTTGCATCAGCCTACCTCACAGCAACCTCGAACTCCTGGGTTCAAGCCATCCTCCTATCTCAGCCTCCCGAGTAGCTGAGACTACAGGTGTGTGCCAGCACACCTGGCTAATGTTTTCTATTTTAAGTAGAGACGGGGTTTCGCTGTTGCTCAGTCTGGTCTCAAACTCCTGAGCTCAAGTGATCCTCCCGCCTGGGCCTCCCAGAGTGCTAGGATTACAGGCATGAGCCACTGAGCCTGCCTGCAAGGGTGTTAATAAAGGTCAGTTTAACTTTCCTCAAATATGCCTAATGAATAACAGGTAGAATTTTGTTTAACCACTTTGGTACAAGCGTCAACTATAGTTGATAGCCGCAGATGAACACGCACAGCGACTTTAGCCGACAGCCATGATATGACTTTTCTAATTTTTCATTTATCAAAATAAAATTGTGAACTTTTAAAAATAACAAACATATATGTATATGTTACCTATTCTGATTTACATTACAAGTAAATCTGCCTGTAAAGTAAAACAAACTTTGAGTGCTTCAAAGCTTTCCTCATCACACAAGAGCAAAACAGATTCATTATCAATGAACAGCACAAACTATCGTGTGGACTATGAGTGCCGGCTGTGGGCAAGGTTTCGTGGCCGTTGAGCACAGTACCGAAGTGGTTAATCATATTGAATAAAACATACAGCTGATATCTTTATTTCTTTGATATAAAAGAAAGAGAAAACTTAAAAAAAATTAATTTAACTAATTGATTACTGCCAAGTAATCAATCAATATCTTCTATATATCTAATGGCAATTGTATTTTTTTTGTATTTTGAATGATAGCTCCTAATGGGCTAATAAGTATATAGAATTCTAGTTTGACAGTTTTAATGGAACTCACTAGTGGTTGGCCAGCAATTTCTGTAACTATTTAGTAATGGGTTACTAAATCAACACAATCAAAGACAACTAGTAGAGTAGCAATAGTGACAACAATACTGCTACTACTACCAGTAATGATAATTAAAACTTATTGAGTGCATACTATGTGCCAGACATTGCTGTAAGTATTTTGTAGTTATTTACTCAGTAATCATCACAGCAAATCTCCAAGTGGGTAATTTTAGTATCCCCTTTTGAAGTTGATTAAAGAGTGGCCAACGAAGCCCTTGATTCACAGCTAGAAAGTAAACATCACCATCCTGTGATATGAAGAGCCCTAGACAATTCTACATCATTTTTGATATGTAATGAAACATTTACTCAAGATCAATAAATTCCTGAACCTACTCCTCTCATTTTCACATTCTCTCATGCTTTCCTCTATTTTAACACACCTCTTCCCACCAAACTCACTCATTTTCAATCCTTACTCATCCCTTCCTCTAGACAATATTTTACAATTATTTCATTTATTTGTTAATTATAACTAATCTGTTGTGCCTCCTTGTTAGCAAACAAGCTCTGTGAGAGAAGGGACTTTTTTGTTGTTGTTGTGGACGGTTTTCACGCTGCTGTGTATCTAAGAGGAACCCAACAAAAATGTTTCGCAAACTTGACAAATGATTTGTCTTCTGTTTCCTGTTACAGGCTTGCAGGTTCTATTGGATAGAGCATGGTATGAATTATACAAAGTAGTCACTTTGTATGAGAATTTGTTGTTAGTATAATATAGTGCACATTATATTAATATATTACCATAGCGTAGTATAACATAATAAAATTCTATACACAGTGTAGGGTAGTGGAAAGTTCACAATCCTTAACACTAGAAGTTCTGAGCTCTAGGGCTTGCTATTGTATCATGATAGCAAATCACTTCAACTCTTTTTGCTTCAATATCCTTACTTTCAAAATGACCTGAACAGGTTGTTCCTGATAAACTGCACGGATTTTTTCAGCTCTGCTATCCTATTTCTTACAGAGGCCTCATAATATGTACTTTACCTAGAGAAGCTTACAACACGAGGATAGTCAATACATTTATGTCTTTTGATGAAGAAGAGGATATGTGTTTCTGAGCTAGAACTTTGTTAATTTACAAAAATTAATTAAAATGTAATACATAGTAATCTGTCTAGATTTTTTTTCTTTAGAGGATAAGAATACATTCCTTTAAAAAGTCACACTCTTGTGTATTTTTGACAGAAGAGTTTTATTTTAGCAATTCAACACCATGGTTTGCTGTTATTCACTTCCACTCCATCTCTGTAGCCAGTCATGTGTCCAAATGACCAAGAGGCTCCCAGCTCCACACGCTGGTGTCCACCTTCAAATGATACAACCTGTGATGTCTCCTCCAACTTGACTGGGGTCTGGGTGAGCCCAGGCATCCTTCAACATTCCAGATGCCCACAGCCAGAATCATGCAACATGCAGGTAACGTTTGGCATAGCAGCTTTTGTTCAGGTTGTGATTGGGCTCTACATGGGGGGGTGTCCTTTGTCTATTCTTTCCCCCAAAATGTATTTACTTACTTAATTCATTTACATTTATGTTAAGCATGATGGAGGCCCACGCCAGACAGGATTGGGTTGAAGACTGTGCAAACTGAGATGTTGCATCTAGACAACTCTCAAGAAATATCATTTTCCAGAGAGAAAGGACAGTAGCCAGAGGGGCATTTAGAATCAAAGGAGATTTTGTTTGTTTGTTTAAGATGGGAGAGATTTGAGTGGGTTCAAGTGTTATGAGGAAGGAGGTGTTCAGGAGGAGAGTGGTCAAGTGTTCTGTTAGAGAGGAAGGGTGATCAAGGGAGAAAAGTTTCTGGGGAAGCCAGAGGAGATGGGATCCAAAGGACAGACAGGGGTTTAGTTTCAGGCAGAGAGAAGGATATTTCCTCTCTATGTCAGTGGAGCAAAGAAGGAGAGGTGGAGTCCAGGTAGGTTTAGGTTTTCAGGTTTGGTAGCTAGTTGGGGTTTGAAAGAGTTCCTGTTTGATGGTTTCAAGTTTCCCAATGAAGCAGGAAGGATATGAAGTCATTTGATAGGGATGAGGAGGAACAATTGTGTGTGAGCGTTGGTGGGTGAAAGTTACAGGTTTGAGAAAAGAAGGGTGAGAAAGTATTTAAAAAATGAGGGAGTATCTTAATCAGAGCAATACAATAGGATGGTAGAGCAGTGCAGAAAATTCATCTGAGGATGGTGACCATGCATTTATATCGAGTCTCATTCTGCTCTGGTGCTTGGCTTTCCCCAACAATCTGGCTGCTCCAGGGAAGGTCCAGAGAAACCAAATAGTTATTGATTTGCCAGCAAGGAGAGATGAGAACAGGGAAATGCAAGAGATTTTAGGGAATTAGCAAGAGCATTATTGAAATAATGGACCATCCAAAAAAAGGTGGATAAGGAGGGATGTGTGTGAAGTAAGGGCTGCTGAACCAAAAGTTTCAATAAAAATGAAGGAAAGTCATTGTGGAATTGTGAAACCAACAAGCTGGAAGGAGAGGACGTGGTGGTTAGAGGATAGGATTCTTGAGGAAGTGATTTTGGAAGTGGAACAGTTTGGGATAATGACAATATCCAGTGGAGGATTAAGTACTTGATGGGCAATTTACCGTTTAAAGTTTGTGCTCTTCTGCTCACAAAAAAAGACAATGGTGGGGGTGATGGAGGGAAGAATAAGTGGACCACGGACAACTTCTAGGGCAGTGAAACTACTCTGTGTGGCACTGTAACGGTGGATACATGTCATTATACATTTTTCCAAACCCATAAAATGTACAGCACCAATAGCGAACCCTAAAGTAAGCTATGGACTCTGGTTGATAATGACGTATCACCAATGACATGTCATTGTAGGTTCATTAATTGTAACAAATCCACCACTCTAGTGGGGTAGGGGCCATATAGGAAATCTCTGTGTTTTCTGCTCAGGTTTTCTGTGAAATGAAACTGCTCTGAAAAATAAGTAAAGTTTATTAAAAATAAAAAAAAAACCAAAGCCCCCCAACTGGAAAATAGAATAAGAGAAGGTGAGATACTGGCAGATTTATCTTCCTTCAAATATTAGGGACAGCATACAAGTATTTCCATCTGAATGAAAAACTGGACTTGAAGTCTAAACTTCAGAGATACATAGCGATTCAAATGATGTTAATGCAATAAATTATAAATAATAACAAAGAGATGTGAATCACAAGCATTTTTGTTTTTCATACACTTTTCTTAGTTGAAAGGAAGTTGCCGCAATGACTGGTCCCTGTGGAAAGTCTTCCTGGCTTGTCTCTTAGCCTGTGTGATAACGACAGCAATCGGAGTGCTCATAATATGCCTGGTGAATAATAAAGGCAATGGCAATGTCTCCGTTGTTATCCAGCTGCCTAGAAACAGTGGAGAGCCTATAGTTACCTCACCTGGAACAACCTCTACGACTCCTCAAACTATAGTGACCACTTCAACAGAACCCACAATGACAACCACTTCAACAGATACTACAACTGCTACAACAGCCACAACCGTCACTTCAGCTGAACCTACAACCCCTACCACTTCAACGCGGCTTGCAACCACAACAGCTACCCCTACCACTTCAAGTGGAACCAGAGATACCTACACTTCAACAACTTTAATAAAACCAAGCGCTTCTATAAATCTAAGGTAGCTGACAACCAAAACACTCACCACTTCCACCATGTCTTTAACTGAATCCACAACATTTACTTCAAATGAATCTATACAGCCACGACCACTTCCACTTACCCTATAACTACTGTAACTTCTATTTAACCTGCAGTAACAATGCTCATCACTTTCCTTCAACAATTTATGATCTCCACCTATTCATCTGAACCTGCAACCACAGCTGCCACTATTACCACTTTAAACTTAATAGAACTACCAAAAATCATCAAAATGACCTGTTCCATATCAAGTTACCCTGTAATTATTACCACTAAAAATCAGCCTACAACTACTCCTGCACCGGTCTTCCCCCAAATTGAAATTGTAGCTACCGGTTCTACAATTGTTATTTCTATATCATTGCTATTAGAACCCTATACCTACAGCAGCTACCACAATGCTACTTAACGAACAATAGTTTGGACTACAAATAATGTAATATTTGCCCTAATCATCACTATATCAACACTTAGGATTTCTAAAACTGTTAAACTCTTTTTATTTTTGACACATTGACTGCCACAATAGAAAGAGAAAACTTTCCTTGGGGCCAGCCATGGTGTTTTATTATGAAAATAGCATAAAAACTTCAAAAACAAAACAATCCTTTCTAATTTAATGAAAAAATTTATTATGTTTTATTGTTTTCTGTGTGTGAATTTTATGCAACTTGAAAAATAGTTTATGCGGCTCCCAAGGTGAAGAGATGTGTGAGTTACATATGCTTCATGAAGCCCTGGGTTCAAAACTAGAGTGAGCTAAATACAATTCTCTCAGCAGTTAATGTGTTTTAAAAAACCCAAACATTTAAGCTATAAGAATCTAATCTATAGAATCTACTTCTATAATTCAAAATAATATAATTTCATATGGAAAAAGTGATCCAATTTGCTAACTTAAAAAATCTTTAAGAAACTCTATATACAATCTTAGAGTATAAGTAGCCATTTAGATTTTAATATGTATTGGTTTCAGTTCAGATTCTTGTGTTCCTCTGTGCACAGATCACATGCATGATGAACAAAAATTTCATAAGGGGAGATATAAACAAATTGACGTAGAAAAAAATTTAGGATTTATAATAACTGTTTCCTCTATGGTGAAATTTGTTATGTTTCTTCAATTTTTCCTTAGATTATATTGCCTTTTAAGAAATGGTATTCTGTTTGCATTAATATTATTGAAAGTGCACTCAAATCTGTATTTCAAAATTAAACAATTAATTTTTTGCAGTCTTTTAAGTCACTCAATTAAATGAAATTTCTTAAGTCCCAACTGTGTACTAAACACTGAAGAAGGTATAGAAGAAGAAAATAGCAAAGTAGATTAAGTAGTAAATTCCTTAATTTAGAATCAGTTAATTTTGAATTCTTAATAATTCTGGCAGATTTAAATTATAATTGATGATGCCCCAGACTTACAAAATCAGGATCTTTAGATTAGAACCAGAAACCTATAATTTACAAACTTCATAGATGTTTGTAATGTCTAGAAAGATTTGAGAATAACTGATTTAATCTATAATAATAATGATGTTAGTTAGAGTGATATAAATTATAATTTGAAATATTAAAAATCAGAGAATTGTGATCAAGGCATACAAAAAGAAAAGAAATTGTAGACCTAGCTACATACAAAAACTTGCTTAACCAATGATCAAGAAGGGAAATATTTCTTAATTCTTTGGTAAGGAAATGTTTTCAAAAAAGCTTTTAATTTTAAGCTGTACAAATTTTAAATCAGTTAGTCTCTTAAAGTTGGACTTAATGGGGTAGTTATTGTTAAATTTTACTAGTTGAGTTATTTTAATTATGTGTGCTTAGAAGTAATGACATTTTAGTAAGTACATTCATTTGGATTTCTAATAATGCACATTGGCCTTTTCTTCCCTCCTTGCTGTTTTGATGAGGAGTATTTTATATTTGAAACATCACTGCTTAGACAGTTCAATTTCTGATTTGGAGTTACCATTTTCTACTCCTTTCACAGCTCATCATAATGATAAATGATCTGAATATTTTCCATGCTTGTAAATAAATATATTTATATGGCTTATTTTATAGCAGAAGATAAGATTGCCGCAGTTTGTGACATAATTGGTGCTTAAGAAATACATGTTAAATAAGTGAATAACTGGTAGCTGACTTGTGCTATATAAGATCCATGAAAATAACCTTCTTTATTACTTATGTTGTATTCATCTGGCACATAGTGGACCCCAATATATATTCAGAAACAAAAGATAATTTTTAAGGTACTATTCTGCAACCAAATACTATTCAGCATTTTCAATGTTAACATTACTAAAGCATTTTAGCCCATTTTTGTTTAGGTTGGATCATTCCAATTTTTAAATCTTTTTTCCTAAGACTGATTTTCCACTTTTTAATAGTGTGCTTGATTATGTTGTGAATGCTCAAAGTTTTCATAAATCTGGAGTTTATAAGTTCTTATAGTAGAAAGTTAAGGCTTCAGGTCACTGATGCTCACTGGAAGAGGAGCTGTGATGGTAATGGAAGGGAACGACAATAATTATGGATCAACTCTTACATATCAGGCATGATTATAAGGGATTTTCATATATTTGGCTCATTTTTATGTTTTCCCTAAAGTTATTTTTATTATGTGGTCATTTTGTGATCCACCACTGGCCCCAGTACTTCTCCCATTGCAGTAAATATGTAACTAGAGAATTTTCTATGTGCAACACTTGTGCGTATGTGCTTTTCTCCCAACTTTAATATACTTAATGAACATTATTTGGAAGTTTTCTCCCTATTTAAAGTATTTGGAAATGTTCATCTTGGCTTATAATTTTGTCATTTCTAAATCCATTTAAAAAGAATGGTTCAATGGGTGATATATAACGTGGAAGGAGGGTCTTCTCTTTTGCAAACAGGAGGGACGTCACCTTGTTTCAGTTATAAACCAGTGGATCGTTTAGAAGATTTAAGCTCATTTACCAGCCTTTACACAAGTAAATCAAGTAGGCCAACTGGCATAATGATGGAGGATTCACTACTCAAACTCTTTGAGAAGGATGAGCTACAACTTGAGATGCAACCTTGGGAGAGTAGAAAATATGGTTCTTCTACATTAATGGCATATGGAATGCAAGTTCTTTCTGTGACTTAAAGAAACAAATCTAGTGCTTCTACCAACATGCCAAATGAACTTCAAATGGATAGCAATGCCTATCAGTAAGAATCTGATATTCTTACCAAGGCCAGAATCTCCCACACCACTAGCTAACTAGACCACGGATCTTCAATGCTTTCAATAAGGTGTTGTCTTTCCAAATGTCTTCTTTGAAAAGGAAAACATCAAAGGGTGCTGTGTAATGCTAAGGGATACATCATTTGTAATTCTGTAGGAATTATTTACATAAGGCCCTGAAAGGACCCTGAAGAAATATAAGACTTAGATGGATGAATATGTTGATCTCAAAGTTTCTGTGAGAACTTTTACAAGTGTCCCTTGTCCCTTGCCTGAAAAAGACTTTTTAAAAATCCTAAATCTGTTGTGTATAGTTGAGCTCTTCCCTTTCTTGGCTTGTGGTCTTCTTCCTTAATTCCTGGCTTCATTTACATTTTTTATCTTGTAACCATTGCCTGTTTAGAACTTTCTATTAATATTTTTGTGCTTAGTGCAGGTTGAGCAGCTCTAATCTGAAAATTCAAAATCCAGAATGCTCCAAAACCCAAAATTTTTTGTGTTGTCCAACATGGCAACACAAGTGGAAAATTCCACGTGTAAGTAATCAACAAAAACTTTTGTGTACAAAAGTATTGAAAATACTGTATAAAAATGCCTTCAGGCTGTGTATATGAGATGTATATGAAACATAAATGAATTTTGTGTTTAGACTTTGGTCCCATTCCCAAGATATCTCATAGGCAAATATTCCGAAATCTAAAAACAAAAATTACCCAAACTGAAACTTTTCTGGTCTTAAGCATTTCAGATAAGGAATACTCAACCTGTGCATGCTCAGAAATTATTGCTCTTATTTTTATTTTGTGTAAAAATGGTTTTCATTAAATCTCACCTCCCTCAACTAAAGCTACCTTAGATCATTTCAAGCAAACTCGTGTAAAAGTAACAATTAAAAGCCATTTCTTTCATATCACTTGACATAACTAATGGTTGCAGATATGTTTATGATTTATTGCTTAGTGGTTTGTCTCATTATGGTAGATTGCATTAAGGGCCACAGGTCTTTATCTCTCATGGTTTCCTTGTCCTTTGCTAGGTTACTTTCAAGAGCCCTTGTACTCAGGCTCTGGGTTTAGTCATGTGATGTGCATTGGCTCATAAGAGACAGAGTGATAGAGTGACAGTTCTATCTGACAGTTCTGAGCCTAAGTCTTAGCAGCCTTGCCTGTTTCCACTTGCTCTTTCACTCTTTGGCTGTTTGCATGAGAAATTCACACTTGGCCCAGCCTATTGGTTTTATTAAGAGGAGGGAGGATGCAAGATAAGGGAAGCTAAAGTGGAGGCACCCTAGCCAAGCTGGCCTAGATCAGCCAATGCCTAGGTGATTCTCCAATCTATGAGCAAGCCCAGTAGATGTCAGTAGAATTACCCAGCTGAGGCAGGCTGGATGAAAGGAACGTTGCATGCTCAAATGTTTATCATCATATGCCACTGAAGTTTCGTCAGTTATTGTTAAGCAGTAATTTTGTGACAATAGTTCATTGATACACTACCATAAGACAATAAACTTCAAAAGGTCAGATACTAGAATTGTTTGTTTGCCATTGGATACCTAATGCCTAATATACACAGTAGCCATGCAATTTTTATTTGTTGAATAAGTGAATGTTTGAATAAATGAATATCTACAAAGAATGCATAAATAGCATGCCTTCCTTTGAACGTATATTTATTTAATGTCTACTATATGTAACATCAAAATGGGAGTATGCGATTGAGTAAAGAAAGTATAATAACATCTGTTGAATCCTCTTCTGTGTCAGGCACTATTCTGGTGGCTCTGCCATCATTGCCTCATTTAACCCTTGCAATAGTGCAGTGAAGTCCCACAGTGAGTAAGTGGTGGTCTCAGGAGTCACAGGTGTATTGGCTATAAAGGTTTGTGCTGTCTTCACTGTACCATGCTGGGCTTGGCTTTCTGCTGGAGATGAAAAAGCACATATATGGACACAGAGGAGATATCACACATAGGTAAAAAGTAATATCTAACATATTGCTGAGACTGCCTTTGAACTCAATCAGGGAGCTTTTTTGGACCTACTACATATGACGTGGTTTGTAGTCTAAGTTTCTTTAGTTATATTTTTTGCTCTTGGTTTATGCATTGATACTATCATTCATTTATCTCTTAATTCACTCATCCAACCAATATTTATTCAGTATATACTAAGTGTCAGGTGCTAGGAATTTAGCACCACAATGGTCACCGAGAGTTGAGAGCTTGAGACATTTTAACCTTCACAAATGTAGATGTACAAAAAGGACATCTCATCATTTATTGAGAAAGTTTCAACA